AGATCCTCCGTGGTGTGGCCCACATTCTTCTTCTCTGCTAATGTGGCTACATCGTCGATGTCTCCCCCTTGCTCACCTCGCCAATTCCCAAGTCGTAGGCTTCATATTTTGCTCCTTCGACGGCGAGACCCAATCCCCGCCCAGATTCCAACCCGTCTCTGCCGGTGCATCCCTCACCGAGAAAGCTATCACCGTAACTCTGGAGCGCGGCCATGGCTCTCCTCCGCCCCTGTGCTATGACCACCTCTCTCGCTTCGTCCTCACCGTTACTGAGCCTCCATCACTGTCCACGGATCTAACTCCCGCCTTGTCGGCAACGAGATCTTGTGGCGTAGAACTGCCGCCTCCCCCTCGCGATCTCACCTTTCGGCGCTGTAAACTCGACCGCTCTGGAAGGGGCACTAGGTCATCGAATCTCCGGCGAAGGTCTGAGCAGAATCCGCCGCGAAGTCCGGTCGGATTTCTCGCCCACGACCGCGGCTGTCACCGGACACGGAGAGCTCCGATCTCAGTTCCCCCTCACGAGATAAGATCCAACGCTAGGGCTTGAACCTATTGGATAGAGAATTGGGCTCGGCCCATTAGGAGAATTAAAACCTCTAGCCCACCAAGCCCATTGCTCAATGAATTTTAGCCATTATGCGATTTACTTGGTAAAGTGTTCATACTCTCTATTAACCTTAATTATGGATGTGTATGACACTTTGATAGGGCTAGTATCAGAACCATATTTTTATTATTCATCGATTTTTCTAGCTTTTGAGCTTATTGGTTTCTCTTCTTTGAGAAATCTAAAGTTTTCTAGATTCTCAAATCCTGTAATTTACTCCCGGTGGATGAGTTTAATTCCATCTTCCAGCTATTTGAGTATGGTCATATTTTCTTCCCTCTCTTGGAGAGTGGTCGTATTCCCGAGCTTGATGTCGGGTTCTTCAAAGTCACATTGGAAAGTGACTATCTTGAAACTCTCCGGCTCTGCCGCGAAGACCGTCTTGACGCATCTGAGGCATACCTTGGATCTGATGTCCATATTCTACGATGATTTATCTGTTTTATGTTTTATTGCACTACAATTATGTGTTAATGCTGGAGGATGCTTAATTCCCTCCTTTTTATTTTTATTAGTTATTTGAATGAAGGATGATTGTTGAAAAAAAAAATATTATCTTAAAATGCCATTTGTCTCATATTTTGAAAAAAAAAGACACTAGTGGTAATATGATTACATACACCATGATGTATAAAAGAATAAAAGAGAGGAGATAAACCCAAACACGTTGTGACCCAAAAAAAAAAACCAACTACACATGTGCGTACTCTTCCCTCGCCGGACTGTATTGGGACTTAGAAGATGGTTCTACGGTCCAAAAATGTTCTTTTGCAGAAATATTTGGTCAGTATTTTGTGGCAAGATCTATAAACGTTTTGACTCCATTTTGAATTTATCAAAGAAATTTGAATAATTTAGTCTAATCAAGTCTTACAGAGGTTTTGCCAACTCCTCCTCTTCTCATGCGCATGTCTGAGATTATATTGTAGGGCTTATGGTTCATAGATTATGTTTCGAGTGCTGTAAAATAGTCTCACAACGGTTGTATCTTCGGACTCCAAAATCTTTTATCACACTACAAACGATTTACAATTTTCTAATATGTAAAAGAGCAATTGAAAAGATGCTTTTAAAGACTTGTTTTGACAATGATAATAATATTGTCGTATGTATGTCACGACAAATAGATAGATGCAAGTGGTTGAATTTATAGGCCATGAGAAAACCTCTCAAGATGATAGACAAACATACAATGAAGTAGTCCATTCGTAGCGGTAAAATCCCATAAGCCTTGGTCACTTTCAAAATTAACCATTAAGCATTCCAGCAACGCGCATATAATTTTCGTGAGAGATAGTACTCGCAGACTCCACTAGAAAAAGAAAAAAAGAACAAGAGCTTACACACGCTTTATCAATGGCGGTTTAATCCTAACATTTCTAACAAGAGATCTAGAGAGAAGAAGATGTAATTTGCAAGCTGAAGAAGAAACTTGTAATTCTTGGTGGGCTTGCCAACACTAAACCGGCCCATGTATGATCTCTCTCTTGCTCTTCGCAAGGCTTAATGGTAGAAGCCCATTTTCTTTGTCTTTGTCGAATCCGCACGAGCCCACATACTATTATTCATTTTTGAATGATTCTAGAACCGTTTTGAGGTACTATTAAAGTGGAAGAAAAAAACATAAGTGATGTGAAAAGAAAAGGTCGCATCAATACCGAAAAAGTCAAACGGAGGATTCATATTTAAAACCCCGAACCCGAAGTACGACAAAAACTAAAGGAAATCTTGTGAATTTTTAAAAATGTGTATATGTAAGTAATAGATGTGTATGTGTCATCCAATAACAGAGTGGAGAAATCAATGGTTCAAAGCAACCATAAGATTAGCTCAAAGAACACTTTTAAAAAAAAATTTCAATCCTAAAAAAATATTACAAGTCGCTCACTTGTTCCTTTCCCTTCAATTTCTCATCTGTTAGTTCTCACTTCAAAATCTATTATTATCCATTCATGCATCATCGTCTTTCGATTTCACTAACGTTTCTTTTGGTTTTTTAGGTGAAAAGTCTCTTTTTCTGCAAATTTACACTTTCTTCTGCATGAGTTTTTCAACCTTAGAAATTGATTATTCTTTTGACCGACATAGCCAAAAACGTGCCCATATATGACCAAAATTCTCTTATTTTTTTTTTTGTACAGAATCTGATTTTCACATAATCATGCTTGTTTGGTTCTCTCCTCAGTCTTCTTCATCTTCTCCAGGTTCTTAAATCCTTCTTTTTTCCTAATTTTTAATTTATTTTTTTTGTTTCCAACTTTCCATTAATTACATGTTTAAACGCGTAATTAAAAGGAAAGTACTTTTTTTTTTGTTCTTATATATAAAACAAAAACAGTGTTCGAAGATATACAATTGTTGAAACCGACACATCAAAACCACAATCTTTTCCAGAAGAATCGAACATGATCGAATCAGAAAATATCGGAATCGACGAAGAAGAAGAGATCAAGGAATCGTCGTCGACACTGGTTTTCAAATTCGCTTTTCAGACAGAAACTTTCGAGAAATTAAACAGAGAAGGGTACAAATCGCTCACTGATGATTCCGGTGAGAGAAACGACGACGAGAACAGTAGTTTCTTGTCTTCTTCTTCATCTCCGGCGATTTCCACGGCGGTGAAGAAATACGAGTCTCATTTTCCGGCGAAGAATCTCACTTTCGTTATCGAAAAACCAAAGGCGGCGACTTTTAGGGTTGAGGAGGATTACTCTGTTTCTTCAGTAGAGAAGAAGAAAGGAAATAAAAACCCAAACTTTCCCGAGAAAATCAGATTTTTAACAGAGGAAGATTTTGTAGAAACAGAGTCTGAAGATGGGTTCTTATCAGATTCAGATTTTGGGTCCGGAGAAGCATCATTGGAGGAACAAGGGCAAAATCGTAAAAACAACA